CCCTGCTACCCCCACCACACACCGCCGCCAGGGCGCCGAAGAACTTCCTGGGCGCGTCCTCCCCCCAGGGGTCGGAAGGCAGGGCGCAGCTGCCGAGGCCGCTGGACAGGGTGCCCACGATCTTGCCCAGGCCGTCGTGGTACAGCCCGCACCCGCTGCTGCCCACGGTGAGCGCGCCGGAGGTCAGGGCGGAGAGGTAGAAGCCGCAGGTGTGCGTTTCACAGCTCACGTTGGTCACCAGGGACACGGAGTGGTCGTCGTTCACCACCACCCTGTAGAAAGGGACGGACACGCTGTGCGGAGGGGGGGGGGAAGTGTCGTCGAGGGAGGGGAAGGATCGGGCGCAGGTCCCACCATGGGCAGCACCCCCAGCACGGTCGAGCGACACCCACTCCAGGACGGAGCGGTGGCCTCTGAAGCAGCCTGGCAAGCCGTGTCCATTGCTTGGGCCCCTGTCTCCCCCGCTCACATGCCGGTGGTGACCTTCTGGGTGTCCCCCTGCGGGTTTGACACGGCCGTGAAGGTGAAGTTGCCGTCCAGCTCCGTGGCATCCCAGCCTGTTGGAGGATGTTGGGACGGGGGAGAAGGTTCAGGAGACCGAGGCCGCAGGCGCGTGTGAGAGCAGACCCCTGCCTGTGGCAGGTTGCCTGGACCTGCAGCTGGACGACGAGGTGGAGTTCCGCCCGCAGCACCTGGAGGCTCACCTGCCAGGATGGGGCCCCACTCCGGGGGGATGTCCTGGAGGAGCTCAAACACCGCGATGTCGCTAAGCTCGTCCTCAAACACGATGGCCAGGCCCTGTGCATGGGAAGAAGGGGGGGGAATAGGTGTTCAAATGAAGAAAAGGAGAAGAGCACGTGTACAGGGACGCAAGTGTGAGTCCTTGCCTGAGCTGCACCCCTGTTCAGCCCAAGCGTTTGTGTTGCAGGCCACAACGCCGCGAAGGATTGCCTCCCCGACCAGGCCATTCTCCCTAACCCAGACCTCACCGTCAGGTACCGGCCGAAGGTGGATGGGATGTCGCTGACCCTGGAGGCATTGCAGGGCAGCGCGTAGTCGAAGATGACGCTGTAGCTGCTCCATGGGTATACGAATCGCAGGCCGCGCATGGAGAGGCAGTGGCGGGCCGACAGGATGTAGATCTTGTCCCCGGGTCCCTTCATCAGGGTGCCTGCGGGGGTTGAAGGTACAGAGTCTTGGTTTGTGGCATGGCACAGACAGGGATCATACAACAGATGCGAGTGTGAGGCGCGCTGACATCAGCCCCTGGTGGCTGGGAGCAGCGTCTGGTTGGAGGGGCAACAAAGGTGCCGCTCCAGTCGGATTGTCCGATTACACAGGAGAGCCTTTGCTCTTCCAGGTCCACGTTTCCTGGGCACACCCCCAACAGCCGCGCAACAGCTGCATCAATCGATCTTTTCCGCACAAAAGTATACTGTCAAACCTGTGCAGAAATTATTCTGCTGGAACTGGGTCAGCTGCACCACAGATCGTTGCATGAAGTCGACCTGGGGATCGCAGGCTGCATCGATGGCGCAGGTGTCCATGGAGAAGATTGTGGAGACAATGAGCTCATCCTCTGCACAGGGAAAGAGTTTTCAGCCTCACTGGATGAGTATGGGCAGTGTGGGCACGCCAAAGCATGACACTGGGACGTGGGCAGAGTGAGGGTTACTTTGGGATGGGCAAGTGGACGGGGTGGGCAGCAGGTACATCCCTGCCGACAGAGGGCACTGAATTGCAACGGGTCAGGAAACCCAGTACGCTCAGCAGCCAACGGTACCTCTTTCCGGTGTAAGATTGTATGGAGACTGGTCGTAGCTCACACCTCCCAAGGCCAGCTAGGTGGGTGCAAGGGTGAAGGTGGGGTGAGGTGAGGTGGTACCCGGGAGAGATTTAAACACTCTCCTCACATGAATGACTCAATCAGACACCTCATGTGCATACCCGAAGCGTGAAAATACAGCAGATGAGCGCGACGCGTCGCGGCCGTATCCGGTGGAGAGTCATGGCGAGACCTTGGTACAAGTCCGCCCGAGCTTCCTGGTAAAATTAAATTCAATTATACACATTGAAAAGGTAAAACGCACCGTAGTACTCGTAATACACTCCGCCTCGTACCGCATTGTTTCTTTGTGACCCCCCCCACACCCCCACCCCGTCCTGCCGGGAGCACGTGAATTTATCCAGGAAGATTGCCCGGTCAGCTCCGCGGGATATAACTGTACCAGCGACGAGTGCAGCGATCTCATCGCTATTCCGTGTAGAATTTGGTCGCCTTGGGTAACTATGATGGCGAATGTACAGCTGGGCGGAGTACATCCCAAGGGACTGCCTCGGAGCAAGGTCTCGGGGCCCCCTTGCCGGCCAAGGCGCCAGGCGTGCCTTGCTGCCCTACCCCCGAGCTCTGACCACAGAAGGAATGGTCTGATGACAGGCCTTTCGGCGATCGCCGCAGCCCTGATCCTGGTGAGGCATGGTCACGTGGGTATCCAGATGTGTGGCCCATCAAGCAGCCACCTCCAATGAGGAGGTAACAGCAGACAGTGCCAGGAGGCACATGGCAGGGAACTATCCTCAAACATCTCATGCACGATCTTTCCTATATCTGCAGAATGCAGCACCAGCCCAGGCTGCAAGCAAAGAACTTTCCTCGTATGCGCAGAGTCAGTCGTACGCTGCCGAATTGCAGGTGTGGCAGGGGCAGGGTCTGATGTCTGAGTGGTGGAGGAGTGTGATGCCTGGGACTCACCCTATTGCAGCAGCCTGCAGAAAGATATACTTTTGACAGCAGAGTAGTGACCTTTTGCTCCCTCTGCACTGCCCACCTTCCAGGCTGCGATCGCTGAGAGGGGCGGGTCGGTGGAGGCGCTGAAGTCTGCGCCAAAGGTACGCAGAGTCCCCAGACGCACTGCCATGAATATACCCCCTGGGCATGCCTGCTGGCTGTCCGAAGTGCGAGCTGAAGTCTCTACAGACTTGGCGCTCCCAGCCTGCAGTGGTCCTGACTCCATCGTGCTCACTCATACATCGCGGGGCCCGTGCAGGTGGCTGCCTCGGCGGTCAAGAAAGCGGCGTCCAGGGCCAAATCTGCCTCCAAGGCCGGCAGTAAGGCGGCCAAGGAGGCCGCTAGCTCGGCCGTGTCGGACACCAAGCAGGCGGTCAAGGAGGTGACAAAGTCCACGTCACCCTTCAGCCTGAAGAATATCCGTTCTCGCCTCTTCGACCAGAAGCAGGCTGGCGACGTGCCGGAGCCTGACCCGGTGTCCAGCCCCTCCCTGCTGGGATCTGTCCCAGAGAAGGATGCCCCTAAGACGGAGAAGCCCCGGTCCGGGGGTCTGCTGGGGGTGGGGTCCCCCCCCTCGCCCCCTCATCCCACGCACCCTGTCGCTGCGGTAGCCAAGGCGCCGGCTCCTGCGCCGGCAGCCCTTGCGCCGGCAGCCCCTGCACCTGCGGCCCCCGCCGCGCCGGCTCCAGCGGCCTCCCCCGCCATCATTATCCCCCCCGAGGAAACACAGAAGCCGCCCATGCCGTCGTCGACGCCGAGCAACAATGCCCCTGCGGCCGGCGAGCAGCGCATCACCCCCCCCGACACCCCCGCCAAGCCGACGGCCGCGCCCAAGCCCTCGCCTGAGCCCGCTCAGGAGCAGGCCGGGGGCCCCAGCCCCCCGCAGTCCCTCATCACGTCATCGGAGACTCCGGGCAGCGGGCAGCGCACCACCTCGGCCAGCCCTGTCAGCCAGGCCCTGGACTCGCCCCCCTCGAGCCAGGCCCCTTCAACCCCCAGCGCAGCCCCTACGCCTGCCACTGGCTCTATTGCCAGTGCGCCAGGTGAGGAGCTGGGGTGTGCAAGCACTGGGTGGGGGCCTGGTGGGTGCCGGAAGGCTGCAATGTGAATTGGTGCACCTGCGATGTGTGTGGGATGGTAATTGTCATCGACAGGTGGCCAGGAATTGGACCTCGATTCCCCTGGCTCCTGCAGCACACCATTGCCCCACATACGATCGCTTGCAGGGGGCTTCCCACTCTCCGCCATTGTCATTGGCAGTGTGGGGGTGTTGGGTGTCGCCGCGGCTGCGTTCAAGCCCAAGGGAGACAGCACAGATAGCCCTGTTGCCACCAAGGCCGCGCCCTCCCCTCCCAGTGAGTATCTAGCACAAGGGCTGCATGCATTGGGCTGTGAGGTACAGGGCAGACCAGAAGCTTTCCTGGCCCGGAGTTGTCCTAGATCTTGCTGTCCGTCCCTCAGCTGGTGCAGCACATGTCCATGCTGCAGGTGCCGTAAACGGGAAGAGCACTGCCGATGCTCCCGCCAGCAAAGCTGAGGTGGTTCCCGCCAAGGAGTGGATCGAGGCTTGGCGGAAAAGGACCGGCGCAAAGTAGGGATTCCAGGGTGAAACTGCACGAGTGTGATCATGTTGCCTGGTCGGATGGCGATCCTCAATGGCTGGGTTTGCCCGGCTGATTTTATGATGGATTCTGGTCCAGATGTGCTGCCTTTGGTCGTTGGCAAGAGTTCGGGGACCGTGCAGCCAGTGAAATTGTCACAATAACCAGATCAAACGCTTGATCGTTCCTGATGCCCTGTAAGTGAAGGTCTGTGGCTGGCACCCTTGCGGGTGGTGGATGCTGTCACACTCTACCACCCTGTCATGGTGGTATTCTAACACCGAGCCAGTGTACAGGAATGATGAGTTGCTCCAGTTTGTGATCTCTCCCCTGAGGAGCGCTTGCCGGCGTCTATGATACATTCCGGGTGGGTTTGTGCAGGGACCCGGAAGATCATGGCATGCTGGGCATGCGATGCAGGTCACCATACCCGCATGCCCCAAGATCATTCAAGCGCCTGTCTAGGAGTACTCCAACCTGCGGTCGTCAGGCGGAAGAATTCATGCCATCGTGCAGGTGAGCAATGCGAGGCATGGCAATGGAGCGAGCCTGCTGTGACGCATGGAGCAATTTCGATCTCGGGGTGGCCTTGGCCCATGAAGGATACGACACCATGCATGCTGCCCTCAATTCGAACTCCACACTTCCTGCAATCTCTCTGTGAAGGTTGCTTGGACTCTACATCCCCCCACATGAACTGCTCAACCCTGGCGAGGACCTCTATTTGGACCTATGCCAGCTCCCGGAATGTATGTCCACATGATTCCAGGCTGTCAGTATTAGGACACAGAGGGAGCAGATCCAGGCAGCCTGCACGTGATGGGAGGGTCTGGGCCCTACCCGTTGATCCTGGTGAACTAGCTGGCACCTTGCAACAAGGTCTGAGCCAGGTGACTGCCTGGCTCCCGAGTCCCCTTGCCAGCATTGCAAACCAGGTGACACTGTTAACGCTGCATGTGTGGGTGGCGGTTTGCTAGGACCCATCAGAACTTGCAAAAGGAATGAAAGCCTGGTCGATCAGGCCTGCATGTTGCCCTGCGCCGTGCCGCATGTGGTTCCGACCCCCATCGTCCCCTCCACAGATTGGAGGGGATGCTGTCGCCTTTGCCTCCCTCCAGCCCTCTCTGTTTGGGGTACTGCGTCTCTCATTCACCTATTACATTCTACTGGCCCAGCCGAGTCCCTTGCTCGGTGAGCAGGAAGTCTGGTGTGGTGGATTTCAGCATAGGCCGCTTCTCATCATCCCTGCCCTGGAATGCAAAGAATCGGCAGGTGCTGGAGGCATTGAACAGAGAGATGCTGGCTCGAGGGTTGTGGCAATCAGCGCCCTTGTCATCACTCGCACATGCTTCCCTCCTCCAGGTCTGCTGGACTTTTATGTCTCCACCCCCCTGGCAAGACTGACGCAGCAGCGCTTCACAGAAGATGACTTCACACTTCGAGATCGGCTGGGTGGTGGCAACTATGGGCAAGGTGGAGTGGGGTGGTGGGAGGGTTGGGGGTGGTGGGACAGGTGCTGGTCTGCCGGGGGCACCCTGGCCTCAACGATCTGACGACAAGGGGTCTGCTCCAAACCATATATGCCGCGCCCCTGCCACCCCCGCCTCCTGCGCAGTGTACGAGGGGCTGCTCTCCGCCAACAAGGTCCCAGACCTGTACTCCTCTGCGCTCAGCCTGGAGCAGGAGAAGCGGCGGGTGGTGCTGAAGAAGGCCAACCTCGACAACTCGGGCATCCGCACCAACTTCCTGAAAGCAGGTGGCCGGCGGGGTGACCCGCCGCAGGGCTTCCCACTTTGTCCTCTGGCCCGCCAGCGCTGGTCTGCACGGTGCGCGCTCCCCCCCAAACCCTCGCAGGCACCATGGCCCGGGGGGCAGGCGAGACCGGGCGAGGTGGAGAGCTACATGAATCTCCGCATCTCGCGCCACCCAACGGTGCGTGCCGGCGTGGTGTGTGCGAGTTCCGAGACCCTCCCTGCGCACGCTCCCCGCCGAGCGCCTCA